ACGCTATGCGTGTAAAAAAAAAAAATGCGGTTAGAGCTTAAAGATGGAAACGCGAAAACGGCGTTTCAAAATCTTCCCACTCTGAAGGCCTGATAAAAAAGACATCGTTTACAGACCCCCGAAACGCCGGCTTCGTATGGATGAGAGGCTGGTTTGGTGAAAAATTTGTGCGTTTAGGCCAGGGTTCGGCTTCGTGTGGACGGGGCCTTAGTTACTGGATATCCATTAATAGATGGAAAGGAATATCAATTCAAACATGAGAATAAAAAATTATTAGGAAACTAAAATATGTCTCTATAATGTACTTTGTGGGTGGATGTGTGTGTGTGTTACTTGCAGTCTGTCGAACCGAGGGTCGCTCCAACTGCTACCTCAGTAGTGGTAGAGTGACCTCGCTTCTGTGCCTGATATCCCCCTTGCTGAGAATGGCTTCACTGTCCCATTGTTGTAGCCTCGTCTCTGTCCTCCATGGTAGGTTGGTGGACCTCCATGATGAACTGAGCCTCTGCCACATCCTCCTCTGCCCCCACGTTTTTTATGTGGACAGTTTCTGTTTGCAATCTGTTGAGGATATTGGCTCCTATTTAGTAGGGTGACCAAACGTCCGTATTTCCCGGGACATATCCGTATTTCACGTCCTGTCCCGGGCTTCCCGGGTTTTTTTTAAGAAAGTGAGGAAATGTCCTGATTTTTTCGACGCTGCGTCTGACATAATCCCTGAGCCGCGTCAGTGCGGGCAGCCCTGTTCTTAATCAGAGGCTCTGTTCGAAATCCTGGGCTGCATCCTCCAAGGACGCGGTCTACCTAGACTGGATCCTTCGAAGTCCTTAAAAAATAAGGAGGCCGGAAGAGTTTTGGCTGTAAATTCGAACAGGTCTACCCGGGTTTTACCGCACTTATGCTCTGTTGCTTAGCAACCGTGAAAGTTGACACACAAAGCTGGAAAAGAATGAATACAGAGGTTTTCAAAACTGTTTGTTTATTTATTTATTTTAAAAAAAAGTTAAAGTGAACAAAGACCACACTATCATGATTGGTTACAGAGTAAACCCAATATGCAGAACACACACGGAGGCTGATGAAAAGTTTAACAAGGTTTATTGTAAACACAATCACATGAATATTGCACAGGAACTGGTTCGGGCCTGAGGGCAGGTTCACTGGAATCTGCAGGGATGACAGTTCAGTTAGCACATGGACTGATGAGTTATTAGTTTTTTGAGTTTGCTGATGAGGTAGGACTCCTTGAAGGAGTCCGGGTTTCTCTTTGAGAGAGGAAACTGTTGGGTCCAGAGACTGTTTGTTCAGCAGAGTCCAATAACTGCTTCAGCGTCTTACTTCTGACTTTGAGGGCAGACCTTGATTTGGGTTTCCAGCTCTTAGCCAAGAGCTGCAAGGGAATCCAGAGAAGAGTCTTCAGATTTGGCTCACGAGGGCAGGCTAGGCAGGTTAAGCTCATCCAGAGCTTCACGAAGAGACAGGATTCCTGTGAGGCAAAAACAAGGAAGGAGTTAGAATCTTATCTCAACAGGAGATAGCAAAGATTCTCAGGTTTACTAGGCTCAGGTGCTAACCAAACTAGATCAACACTGCGGCGTTGAGGCAAGGTCTGAAGGCAGGTTATATGGTGGTGGGTCTTCTGATGATGAGATGGGCCACAGGTGTGTTGGAGGCTCAGCTCAGGAGGACCCACGGCGCACTCTGCTGGAGGAAGGTGGTAAAGCTCCAGATCCCAACATACACTCACAAGAATCCAGAGTGGAATAAGGGTTCCAACCAGCGGGAGCAGGAACAAATAAAATCAAATGTAATGACAGAAACCTTAGTCAGTTAAATAAGCTGCTGCTGTCATTCAGCACATCCCTGATGTTGCTGCTATTTTCAAATATCCATCACTATAAAAATGTCCATAGCTGCATATTGGTTATTAATTCTCCAGTTTTATATTGTTAAAACACTTTACAGAATTGTATTGTTTATATTTTAATTCTTCCCTATTATGTTATTCTTATACATGTTTCTAAGGTCCACATTTGTGTGACAATTTTTAATAATCTTTCTGCTGCTGTAAATTTGCCCATTGTGGGACAATAAAGGGATTTTCTATTCTATTCTATAAAAGGGTTAGAAATATATAAGTAAATCTAAACAATGTATGTACAAAATATATCTGCAAAATCTCTAATTTTCAAAATAAAAAAATACTTAGTTAAGCCTATTGTGCAAAACAGCAATAAACAAAATTAAACTCCTATCAGATTTATAGTCCCCACCCTGCAGATCTATTAGAATCTGTCCTTAAATTACAGCCAAACCCATTTACACAGTAACAGATTAAAACCTTTAGATAAACCAAACATTACCGCCACATATCTGACTCTATAACCATTAAAACTATTTTCATTAATTTCAGACGGAACTATTCACAGAGTTGTATTATATTAAACTGAACTTCCAATTTTCACCACTGTTCGGGGCCAAGTAACATTTCCTCTGATCACGGAGCAAATCCCGATGATGAGACATTATTTCTTTCATTGTGCTATTTATTCATTACAGGAATTGTTAAGCATTTTTAATAAATACATTTTGAATGAAATTATCGTTTGTTATTGGAGTTATTGCTGTTGACTTTTACTGAAAAGCATTTTTAATAAATCAACTGTAAATATAATGTTATTGTAGGATTACGTAGGCCTATGTTAAGTGAGTGCATGCCACAGACATCTCTATGCATTGGAACAGAGATACCCCCCACCCACCCCCCACCCCCAAGGTGTCCTGGTTTTCCCAAATAAAAATATGGTCACCCTATATTTAGTGACCATGGAGCAAAGGTGATAGATGGATCTCCGCTGTTGGTCCCAGGGATACTACACTGTAAATAATATCCGTAGAATTAACAGTGAATTCCTGTAAAATCATGACATAAAAAAACTGTAGATGCAAAAACAATGAAGCAATGTGTAATTTACAATGATAAACTGTAAAACTCCTAACCAAATAAAACTGTTCGTTTTACAGTAAGAATATGTTGAATAGATCGGAATTTTTTGTATAATTTACAAATTAATGTAATTTAAACACAAATAAACTGTAATGCCAAAAAAAAAGTCATACAGTTAAAATTACATCATTGCCCTGTTAAAAAAAAAGTCAGTAGCCTAGGCTCTTTGGCACATTTCATAAAACGAGTTTTTGCCTCGGCAACCGCCCGAGCCAGATCTCGCTTGGACTGCCGATACCCATCAGGTGCCTCTGGAATCCCACAGGCAGGGAGCACTGAGTCCATTAATGGTACTCATCATGCGGGGTCTTTGGGCTGCGCTTCATCTGATGCCTAACCTATTTCGTTTACCATTTTTAAAAACTCTAAACCAAATAAAACTGTTAATGTGTTTAAAAGACAATACATTTTTTAGAATAAATTAGTACGGAAGAGGATTAGGGCCACTGAAAAAAAAAAAATTAACTGATTTTTAAATTTTATTTCAGTTTAACATGGGAAAAAAATTCTGACTTTTTTCTCAGAATTCTGACTTTTTTATTGTAAGAATTCAGTCAGAATTCTGAGATTAAAGTCAGAATTCTGAGAAAAAAGTCCGAATTCTGACTTTTTTCCCATGTTAAAATGAAATAAAATTAAAAAATCATTTTTTTTTTTTCAGTGGCCCTAATCCTCTTCCATAAATTAGGAAAGGGAAGCTTTATGTAGGTCTAGTTAACACGGGATGCATATCCATGATGATATTTGAATGGAAAACGCAGCTGAATCAAACCATGGCCATCTGGAAGAGGACTTATTGAATTGATTCGCTGCTCTACATATATTGGAATTTTTCATGGAACCAACTGTTGGTAAGTAAACAATTCTATTTTCTGTTTATTCCTGCTGATGTAGGATAGTTTATTTTACAAATACTTTGTTCTTTGCAGGAGAATATCAAATTATTTTGGTTCAAATGTTAGCTCCGCCCATTCACAGGCTGTATTTGCGGATCAGCGTCAGCGTCCCACGCAGTGGCTACTAGCTAGGTTGGTAACACGTGCGTGTTCGGCTCTGTCGCAGTAGCACTTAACAGACACCAAGTCTGAGTAAGTAATTTCTCTGGTTCTAGCATCAGGTTAAGTCAATTTTGTGAAACAAAACGGCGCGTTTTTATTGATATTTCTGGCTGATAGGCGGACAACTAACAACTTCACATTGCTACTGGCTGCTAGCAGCTAATAGCTATTTTGCCTGTTTCAAGCTCCCTACGCCATGATTCAGTAAGTGATGTCTCTGGTTCGAGCATCAGGTTAAGTCAAAAGTCAATTTTGTGAAACAAAACGGCGCGTTTTTATTGATATTTCTAGCTGATAGGCGGACAACTAACAACTTCACATTGCTACTGGCTGCTAGCAGCTAATAGCTATTTTGCCTGTTTCAAGCTTCCCAAGCCATGATTCATTGTCATTTTTGCGGGAGAACATTGCACACGTTAAAGGGTTATGTCTTGCATTGTAGGGTTCATAGAAACGAACCACGCTGCGTGTTCAAGTGTGAGAGTACTGACTGCAGGCAGACATTTTGTACATATGCATCATTTAAGTGTCACTTCTATCGCAAGCACAATGTCCCAGCGCCGTTTGCTAATGCTAACACAGCTATTATATCAAGTTTTATTTGCGCCATGTCACTGTGTTCAGACCGATTTCAGACTGTGCAGGAACTTCTTGTACACTTAAAAAAACATTTAGTGGAGGGAAGAACTGTAAAGTGTCCTGTGGCAGGTTGTCAAAGCACATTTACTTTAAAATCATCATTTACAGCACACTTGTCTAGGAAACATCCACAATGTTCAGCGAATAACATAAATGATATTTACCGGGAAATCGCACCCCAGTCCTCTGCCATTGCTTGTGAAGAGGCTTCTCAGACTTTAGATGGTGCAACAGAAGAAGCTACTACACTACCGCAGAATTTTGATGAAACCTTTCTTCGGAATGTTTGCTCTGTGATGAGTCAGTCGCCAATTTCAACGCCGCCGTCCAGCAGCAGTCAAAGCCCACAGGGCAGTTTTCCAGACTCATTCATGATACCATGGAGGAAGTTCCCCGAGGCTTTGACGCAGGCTTTGGAGAGAGGAAAACGTCCAAGTCCAAGTTTGAGGAAAGAGATGGTGAGAATTGTGGTCCGTGAAATGATGAAAGTAACCACTTCACTATGTAAAAGGAACGCTGTTGATGTGGCTAGGAAATTGGTGGCCAAATACCCCAAATCACTGCAAGATGTCATTGAGGGTGACATAATTGGCACAGGGTACTACTCCCTTGTGAAACAAATTCAAAATCGGATCGAAAATGTGAAAAGGCCTACAACACCTAAAATAAAAAGAAGAACACATGACTCTGACACTGACGAAATCCCCCCTGAAAAACGGGCAGCGATTCAAGACACCTATGGGTGCATCCGTTGGCATGTCAAGTTTCTGCCCCTTGGAGAAACAGCTGAAAGCCAGCAGCAAAAGAAAGATGAGCTTAAAAATCTTTTTAGTCAGAATGAGCAAAGCCCAGGTCCTGTAAAGATGCTTATGAAGTCCACATTCTACACCCAGCGACAAGAGGTGAACCAAGGAAAGGACGTGAAGTACCTCCTGGAGAACTGGCCATATTGGTTTTGTGAAATTGGCATGGCTGTTCACTTTAACGAGCTCACTGGAGTGGACCTAAAGGAAACCTTCCTAAAGAATATGGAACAGAAGGGGGAAAGGCTCCTGCACTTCATGAAGACAGTTGCTGTCAACAAATCCAAAAGATTCTATCAAGCTGCAACAAAGCTACAAATGATGAGGGGAGAACACCCAGGCTACACACATGCCACAGAAATGGTGCTGCTCCTCCTGGCTTATTTTGATGAGAAAGAAGATGTGATGTTCCATTATGTGGAGGACACTTGCCTGGCTGGGGAAGTGGACATGAGCAGAGTTCCCTTGACTCCCACGATTGTTGTATGTGGTCAGTTAACCTCACAAATATATCCCAAATGTCTTAATTTCTAATTTAAGTTATGTTCATGCAGCATCTGTAATTGTTTTTGTCTCGGCTGTTAATTTCAAATGCCACCACTCATTCTCTCACACACTCACTCACATGAACTCTCTCTCTCTCTCTCACACACACACACACACACACACACACACACACACACACCTGCCTTCCAAAGACTGAACACATGCTCTCTCATTCACACACTGACCTCTATCTCTTATTTGTTTCAGTTTTTCTCAGATGTGTTTTTTTTTTTCATTCGCATACATATAGTACACACACTTGTTTTTACACTTGAACTACGAGTTACTGACATGTTGAAATGTTACCTAAATTGCTGCTGTTTTTTTTTTTTTTTTAAATAGGGCAGTCCTGCTATTCCTCCGGACGGATGATGCTGAGTGTGGATCAAGTCATCGTGAACGAGAACATCTCTTCCTTCATCTTGGCCTTGTGCATGATGTTTGGCAGCTATTACTGCTTTAACATTCATTACCCATCCACGCTTGCATCGACCCTGGAATTTCTACAGAGGTATGTTTTTTATCTTATTTTTTACAATTGTTTTGTTCTATTTATTAGTCATTTGGCTGAGGCTTTTATCCAAAGCAATGTGCATACAAATACCTACAGGGCCATTCTCCCCTAGAGCAACATGGGGTTGCTAGGGGCTAGCCTCAACCCCTGACTTTGGTGGCTACTGGCATGATAACCAAGTTCCTTTACCCCATCGCCACCACCATCTTAGTCAAGATAACAGCTCTGTAGCATTGCTACCTGAAATACGATGTATCAAATAATGTTGACACCTTGTTAAACTAATTGTCTAAGTACTTTTTAGCAAAAACAATTTCATTTCATGGGCAAAATGACATGTTCTGCTCAAAGGACAACTTCGGTCTATTTCAACAAGAGCTCTATTGCTCAAGCTACTCAAGACTTGCCAGTACTGAAGACGCGAAAAATTTTGGTTCAACTTGTATAGGTTTATTTGAACAGAGAATTAGCTCTGATAGCTAACCCATGGGGGAAGAACTTTACACTGTGTTTTATCATATCATTTGTTTAAATTTTGTATATGGCTGCTTGCACAAACACACTGTTTTAACCACTTTTTAAGCATTTCTAGTCATACACATTACAGTGTTGTTTTATTGTGGCGGCTGGTGTTTCGTAGTTTTGGCGTTGATATTTGGAGCGTTAAATTCACAATTTAAAGTTATGTCCCCATCGGTTAGCTGTCAGTGCTAATTCTCTGTTCAAGGAAACCTATAGAATTTAGACCAAAATTTCTCACGTCTTCAGTCCTGGCAAGTCTCAAGTAGAATAAGCAATAGAGCTCTTGTTGAAATTGACCGAAGTTGTCCTTTAACTTTGGAATCTATACTTTATACCAAAGGTGTCTGGCATCAAGAGGAAAAATAAAAGATGTCGATATGTCAATAGGCAGAGTGTGGTGTCTAATGTCTATAGGCCTTAAGGTGCACCCTCCCATACTTCAAAGGAACCAACTTTCTTTTAAAAGTCTGACCATGCTAAACATGAATCAGAATGTTAACACTGAACATTTTGGGTTGCACTACATGATTCAGGTAGGCAATGTATGTCCATACATTGAAAATGCAATGGAAACACATTACAGGAACATGACTCTCCATGAGCTAGGGGAAGGTGCAATGCAATTTGCAATGTTTGGAAATACACTGACTGCCTGAAACATGTAGTGCAAAAATTTCAATGTAAACATTCTGATTCATGTTAAGCATGATAAGACCTTTAAAAAAAAAAAAAAAAAAAAAAAAAAAAATTTGGATTATTTGGTGGGTTCATGGTTGGCCCCTTAGCTCCCCGCCTACCAGTTAAACTTTAAGTAATGGAAAACTGTAACCCGTATTCTCACCTTTTTTGTCTTTTCCTTTGTACTGATTTGACTGGTTGAGATGGTTGTATCATTTATAGTGGTATATGTATTTCTTCTCTCTTCTGTTAACCTAGATGTTTCTTCTCTATTAATCCGGAGAAGGGGACGAAAGTGGAACAAACAAAAACAAAACGGCTCCATGTGAATCCAAGAGTCCTTACTTTGATTCAGGACCTCTCAGACCATGAATGGCGAGCTATTTAAAAAGGTACGTGTGCTAATGCTACTGCTGTCCTTGATTATTGACTGACTTTACTAATGAAACTAATGGAGATTATGTATTTCTTTCTCTTCTCTATTCCATTAGTTGTTCCTTCAAGTGGCCGCGACGGTGAACACCCATGTTTCTCTAGATGTTCTTCTAGAAGCAATGCAGTTGCATGTTAATCTAAGCTTCTGTAACTTGGTTCATGACCTTTTCAACCATGAATGGCGAGCTGTTTGAAAAGGTACAGTACAGGCCAAAAGTTTGGACACACCTTCTCAATCAATGTTTCCTTATTACCATGTCTATTTCCATTGTAGATTCTCGTTGAAGGCATCAAAACTATGAATGAACACGTGGGAATTATGTTCAGTGCATCCAGAGAGTATTCACACCCCTCTCAATGTTTCAGCATTTGTTGCATTGCAGTCATGTCCTTCAGTCAAATAAGTTTATTTTTTTCTCCCTGATCTAGGATCCGTGCCCCATAATGACAGCAAAATACAGAATTGTAGAAGTTTTGGCAAATCGTAAAAAAACTGAAATATCCACATGGGCATAAGTATTCACACCCTATGTTATAACACTCTTGCTGTTATTATGGATCACTGAGTCTAGATCAAGGAGAAAAAAATGTATTTATTTGACTGAAGGAGATGACTGCAATGCAACAAATTGTGAAACATTGAGAGGAGTGTGAATACTTTCAGGATGCACTGTACATAATTCTCACGTGTTCAGTGTACGTGTGCTAATGCTACTGCTGTCCTTGATTATTGACTGACTTTACTAATGAAACTAATGGAGATTATGTATTTCTTTCTCTTCTCTATTCCATTAGTTGTTCCTTCAAGTGGCCACGACGGTGAACACCCATGTTTCTCTAGATGTTCTTCTAGAAGCAATGCAGTTGCATGTTAATCAAGCCAATAACCATGATTCACAAGCTCTCCATGAATGGCGAGCTGTTTAAAAAGGTGTGTGTGCTAGTGCTACTGTTATCTTTGATTATTGCTGACTTTGCTAATTAAACTAATGGAGATTATTGTGTTTGTTTCTCTTCTCTATTCCCCTAGGTGTTCCTTCAAAGTGATGGAGCCGATGAACACCTATCTCACCTTTTTTCGTGGCTCTATATTACCAAGGTTCACATTTATTCACTCGCTCACTACCACACCTCACTCACAATCCCTCTCTCTCACAAACACAAGTGCAACCACACACACACACACACACACACACACACTTTAATGATCTCTTTCTCATTATTTTTTCAACAATAAATTTGCATTATTGTGAATTGTATATTGTCTGACGAGTGGTTTGTTACAGCCTGAATTAATTTAGAAGTAATTTGAAGCAATGTAGATAGTAAGACTGTACAATATATATATATATATCCTGTTGTTTTTCCAGAATGATTTTGTTAAAAATACAGTACAAATGTAAACATCTTTAAACAAAAATCTGTTGTTTTTACAGAAAAAAACTGGCAGCTGTGGTTGCCAGAATAACCCTGTTAAAAATACAGTACAAATGTAAACATCTTTAAACAGAAATCTGTTGTTTTTACGGAAAAAAACTGGCAGCTGTGGTTGCCAGAATAACCCCGTTAAAAATACAGTACAAATGTAAACAACATTACAAAACAACTTGTAAATTTCACGTCCTAAAATTGCTTATTGTACATTGAATAGCTGCAAAATGTACATTTAGTCATCATTTATTGTACATCAAATCCCAGTAAAATGTACAAGTTGTTCCGTAATGTTGTTAACAGTTTTGTTGTATTTTCTACGGGATTATTCTGGCAACAACAGCTGCCAGTTTTTTTCCGTAAAAACAACGGATTTTTTTTTACAGTGTAGAGTCTGGGTGTGAGTCTGGTTGGGGGTCAAATGACAGTCTCAGTTCGCCCCCGTCATCTTTCTCCTCTGGTTAGGCTCTCTGAGAACCAGGGTAATAAAAGTTGTCTTCTTTTTTAAAAGGATTTGTAGCCTTCGGCTGATACGGTGGAGGCCGAGCAGAGAGCAGCAGGCTTGTGGTAAACTGGGATACAGGCTGGAGGTGCTCAGTGGTGCCGTTGGAGACGAACCTACAGCCACAACAGCAGAAGCAGAAGAGTTTAAAAAAAAGAAAGATGTGCATTAGTAAATAGAACAACAGTAAATTTTCTTAAGTTGTTCCTATCATTATATTATGAGTCAATATCACTATGAAGTGCCTTTGGTGTCCTCATCAGACTCACTCAGTCATCATGAAAATGTAGCAGAATAATGAAAGTCTGAGGTCTTATTATAAGTGGCCAAACACTTGCACACATATCAGTACAATGACAAGTCTCTTAAAATCTGTTTCCTTCATTTTATACAATTTCTTTTTATTGGATGTACGTGATTTTGGTATGTCCCACACACTGCTCGGCTAACTACAGTGTGTGTAATAAGTGTTTAAATTATACAAAATCAAAAAAAAATTTACATGGTTTTATTGTCCACAATAAGTTATTTGATAAAACAAGTCATTTTGTTCATGTATATTGTATTTTCATAAATATATTGAACATTTTGCATGTGTCCCTGAAATTGCGGTCCACCCTGTCATTATGGGGTAACTGTCCCTTTAAGAAACCCACTGATGTTTTCAGTGACATCACTACAAGCAGTTTTTCTGTCTTCAATGGAGGCTGAAGCAGTGGCGAGTTGCAAAGTAAGTATTTACACTTATGTTTCTTAATTTTCATCATATTATGTGTGTAGTTGGATGTTGTCAAGCTTAACATGTCCACCCTGTCAGTGAAATATCAATTGATAGAAAAACCTATCAAAACTTTGAAATATATTTGTAAATCAGTACATAGTCAGCTTGCTGACTGTAGCATGTTGCTAAGTGAAGGTCCACCATGTGCTCATTAAATGCTAAGATTAGCCAAAAATGTCCACCCTGTCATTGTCCACTCTGTCAGCAAGCCTTCCATGACAGGGTGGTCATGGTTCATGACAGGAAGGACATTTGCATAGTTTAGACCACATGCTGATAATGTTACACATATTACAACAGCTATTACACACATTTTATAACAATACATGCTATACTTAGTAAAATTGGACAATTAGACAATTTTTTTGGCGATATCGGTATCACCAAGCCTAGTTTGATAAGGCAAGCCTATTTTACAGGGACTGCCAATTAAAATGTGTAACGGAACATTTTGAATCGTCTTTTTCAAGGAATGAGATCAAAAGGAGCTGAGATGGCAAGGAGATATCGGGAACGTTGTGATGCTGACCCAGACAGAAGAAGAAAGTACCTTGAAAAAGAAAGGGTCAAATGGAAAAAAGACAGAGAGACTGGAAAGAAGAAGGGTGTCAATGAGCTCAGTTAGAGAGTGAAGAGGGCAAAAAGAAAGAAATGGAGAGAGGCAAAAAGACAAACCAGAGCCAGAAACAGGGCCAGTCCTTTGCTACAGTCAGAGACACCACCCCTGCTGAAACTCCTGAAAATCAGCGTGAGCCAGGGCCCTCCAGGTTAGATCATTGGAAGTTTAGCTGATGAGACTTATTAGAAAGTTTACATTTATTTGAAGGACAATTATCAACTGTTTATGTCCCCATAAAAGGACATATAAAGGGTTCAGATGCAAAAGCCTCTAAATGCCACCTACGTCAAAGATGAGATAAAGATGGTGAATGGATGCTCTCCACACATAGTATAACCAGTATCGACAAAAAGGAAATTTCTTCTACCTCTCAACAGAACCCTACAAGTATGGCTTCAAAGAAATAACATGGAATTTCTTTGAGGCTAATCATGGGAAGGGGGCACCAGACGGTGTAGGTGGGGCCCTCAAGAGGTCAGCAGACCGGATTGTAGCCCATGGAGGTGACATTCCTGATGCCCAGAGCTTGTATAACAAGCTGAAAAGCCTGGATACATCTGTCGAGCTGTTCTTCATCCCAGAGTGGGATATTGAATCAATGCCTGAGTTACCTGCAATAGCTGCCGTAAAAGACACTATGAGAATCCACCAAGCTATCAGTCTGACACCCGGCCAAATGAAATACAGAGACATTTCATGTCTATGTAAAAGGGAGAAAGGTGTTTTGGACTGCCCCTGCTTTAATCTTCAACAGGTCACTCTAGCTAATGTTCCTGTTTCATCTGACAAGTCTCCAGCATGTGGAAAGACACCAGATAATCCTAGGAGACCAGAAATGATTGAAGTAAAGCACATTGGAGAGGGGTGCATTGTTAATTATGACAATGAAGCATACCCAGGTATCATCATGGATGCAGAAGGGCATAGTGTGAAAGTTAAGTGTATGCAATGCCATGGCATAAACCAGTTCAAATGGCCAAGTCTTCGGGACGACATCTGTTGGTACCATGCCTGGCAGGTACTTTGCCTAAAACCAGAACCACAGGCTCTGAACAAGCGCTTTTTACAGATTGAAGCGTCTGCGTGGAAGTATGTGGAACAGCTACTGCAGAACTGAGCGAGCCATGTCTCTTCAGAAAGGGAGAGACTGTTTGGAGATGCTTCCAAGTGATCTTTCTGAAATATTCTGTTTTTTTCAATTCACCTGTTCTCCACTTAAAAAATGTTTTCTTTTTGTTCTACAGTTGAATGTTTGACTTTCACTGTGCAGAGTTTAACGCTAGAAGGCCACATTAATGTCTCAGTTTGGGCATCTTTATTCAGTGGCTGCATGCAGGTAGAGTGGATCGAAACTAGTCTGTTCGACTAGTACATGGGAAAAGGCATTTTTTACACAATTTTCTTGCATTGTTCTTTGCATTTATGGGGCCATTCAATGACATTCCACAACATGTCCACCCTGTCATGTCTCTGTCCACCCTGTTATTTTCATGTTCTATAAAAATAAACAAATTATTTCCACAAGTTAGCTAAATCTTTTGTGTGATTCCTTTATAAGCAAATAAGGGCCAAATAGTATTGCTTGAAAATTTGACCAGATATCTTTGTTGTTAGATTTTATTTAGAAAAGAAAGTGCAACTCTCGCAGATTTTATAGAGAAACAAATAGTTTGCCATAATTTCATTATTATCCAAATACTTTTCCGATTAACTAAAATGTATTGTTGAGTAAGGGACTAAATAGTTTTCTGAAAATTTACATTTTATAATCACTATGTAATTACAATGTATTTACTCTGTTTTAAAATTGTCCATGACAGGGTGGACATATTTTGCTGTTTGCATGTAAATTGTCTGCTTGCAGTTAATTTATAAAAAGTGTGGGAGCTTGACCAATATGTATTTCTAAAAGCATAACATATACCTAATACAATATACATGAAGTTCAATGGAAAATCTCAGCTTTTTTTGGGGGGGCGGGGGGAGTCTGAAAGGCACCTTATGGTGATATTGACTCGTATATGTTATATTCTATTCTATTATATGTTATATTCTATTATAAGATATTTTTATGTGTCTTTTTTTTCCTTTTTCTTATTTTGAGTGCTCACAATTACTCTGGATCATTGCTTTCTCTTTTTATTTTGTTGCAACACTTGGTCTACTTTTCTTTAGTAAGACCTACAACTTCCCCTTTAAAAAAAAACTCACTCTCAGCCTATTTAAGGACTACTTTTCAAAACTCGGTCTTTCAAAAAAGACTTACCCTTGGTCTAAAAAAGACTCACCCTAAGCATATTTAAGGCCTACTTTTTCAAAACTCTGTCTTTCAAAAAGACTTACCCTTGCTCTAAAAAAGACTTACCCTCAGCCTATTTAAGGCCTACTTTTTGTTATAACAATATTTTAGTTTTTTTTTTCTTTTTTACCTTTAAGGGAGTTTTTTTTGTTTTCTTCCTCTCTCAGTCTCCTGAAGTTATTGTCCTCCTGTCGAGATCAATCCACTCGGTGGAGCATCAGAAGAGTCCTCCTTCTCTTAAATGGCCTATTTGAGGTAGAGGAAAAACCCATATGGTTTTGGTGATCAGCCCTTCTTCTAGAATCCACCGAGCGGATGGATCAGCGAAGGATCCTGTTCTCATAACGCCAAATTGTGGAGTAAAAATGAGCACTGAGAGATGATTTGCAAGGAAGAAAAGGTTTTATTTTACTCTGCAGAGGAGAACGACACAAACAGCTAAATAAAGCTCTCAGTGTGATTCTGACTAGGTCGCTGCCCATCCTTTGCATTTATAGAGAATTCTTACACACAAACATTGAGTCTTCCCAACAGAAACACTTCATCAAAGGACATAGATATATGTTCAGATAAACATTTCAGAT